GTGAGGCTAAGTTAGTATTCTCAGTAGCGTCAACAATATAATCTATATTATACTTTCGTTAATTATAGATACTAAACTTCTTTAAATTAATACAGTATAATTATTTTTTAATATTTAATAATTTGATTATCTAAGCTATAAATATAGTATAAAAATTTTATATTGCTTAAAAGCTTATTTTATTCGTTACCCAGAAATACGAGGAATTCACATTTTATATTATACAAAGTAACATTAAAATAGATAATAAAACTATGCATTTATAGTCAGTACTAATTATAATTTTGTAATAAATTAAAATAGGTCAGCGACGATAAAAGATAAGTGTAATAGCTATTTGAGCAACTAACATAGATTCTATTTCATTTTCACAAAATATAGGCGTAATTTCCATCAAAATATTGTTTTCAAACTATTAATTCTATTGGTTGAACTGATTATTGGGTATTTTAACTTATTAATAGTAAAATATACTTATATACATATTTGTATATGCGCGTCTGTGTTTGTGCATGGGTGCGTGCGCGCGCGCGCGCTCGCATACGTTTATATAATACTTTTATATTGTATACAGCTGTAATGGCTGTGCAGTCACATTAAATTTCGTATTGCTATTTGCTCACATTGCTTTGTAATTAAGAAAAAAATCGTGAAAAGAATGTAATCGATACTTAAATACTAAATTTTATGATACAAGTTAGTACGTTTCTACAATAAGAAACAAACATATCGCATAATTAAATAAATTTATATTAATTTTATTACAGTTTTTGACTGTTAGAAGTGAGCACGATACTTAATTTTGATTGATAAAGAATACTTCTTTTTTTTTTTATAGGACGAAAACTTAATGCCCGATAAAATTGCATGTTTAACCACATTTATAATTGAAAAATATTTGATTAACCAATGTAATTCAAATAATATATATTACATAATATCATTATTAGCATGTATGATAAGCTGAATATAAATGTATTGTAATTTATTTTTCGACAGTCGGCAATTATTAGATTACAAAATTCTGTAATTTTTATGTGTATGTCATCATAGACATTCCATTTATTACTTATTAATATGTTTTTTTATATTATTTACTGAATCAATATTAAGAATTCCAATCGAAATTAATTTATTGAATATATATATTTGATGAATAGAGCATGGCTTAAATTTTATTAATTAATTTGACATGAAAACATTATTTTAGTCTACAATCTATTATAAATATTTACCAGAACATATATTACTGTAAATACAATCTAATTGTTCCTATTAACAATAATGAGAATAATTTACCTTTCCCGTCTATTCAGTAGTTATATATGCTCAGCTTATAATAATTGCCTTTTATTTTATTTATTAATAACCTAATAATAATATTTTTGTAATTGCATATAAAACTAGTTCGTCATATATTATGAATGTAATATCTATCTAGGTAAATCCAGAATAAAATTATTTTAATGATTTGCAAATACGTTATATAGTTCTTTGAATATTTAGATTATGATAATGCAACATAAATATAATATTTTAATATTGATTTGATATTTTAAATTTGATAAAATTCTACGAATCTTTATGGAAAATTGATTTTCGGTACATTAGCTACATACATTAAATGTGCTTTAAAAATTTTTATCTTCTTTTATAAATATTTGGTATTAAATTGAAATGAAATTTTGTTAAAGCAATTAAGTAAAGGTTATATATACAGTTTGTCTTATAATTACACGGATTTCAAGATTTGATTTTAGATAAATTATGTTTTCATAATCTTTTAAATATCACTATGTATTATTGTAATTTCTACAATAATAAACTACATTAGGAAATCATTTTTCTGACAAACTACTTTACAAGTAAACTTTCAATTAAAAGTAAATTTTATATTTTAACAGAGCTATCGTAGAAAAATATTAGCAATATTAAAATTTACTTATTAAATAGCTGTATTTTTTAAATTTGAAAAAAATAGGTTTGTGACACTGAAAAAATATTTAACATGAAATCACGTACGAGTAGATTGATATAAGATTCAAAATTTTGTTGATTAATCTAGTAGTTTTGCGTTAGCACAAACTGAATACTTATGATAAATAGTCTTGAGTGTAGGCAAATGATCATAAAAGTAAATATAATAAACCTGTTAAATAAAGACAATACTCGCAATTTCTCGCAATAACAGTTTTACGATTTCAAAACTTTAAAATCAAGTTAAATACTACTTCAACAAATCTACTGAAACGTTTTCTTTGAGTTTCAATTAGTTATGCTAAAATTAAATTTTACATGACATATATAATACATTGAATAAAAAAAATATTAATTTATAAATAATATGTTCGTTTTAATATTCGAAAAATTTGTAACAAATACATAAATTTATTGTAATGGAGTATTTTTAATGATATAGAAAATATAAATATTACTATTAATTTTTTTACATGAAGCATGCATATTAATATATCCGTGTGTAATTAACATTTTGTGTTGAGTTGCACAAACAATTATTAAATTTTAATTTCTTGTAGGAGAATAAATCATTTTGCGAGTTGTTAGAAATAAAAACATATTTTATACAAATATTATTATATTATTTTACGTATTTTTGTAAATAAAGTAATTACATAAGATAAAAATCAATGTTGACAATTTTTTCTCAAATCAAGGTAATCTACCGTAGTGTTTATTTAACGCTAAAACATTAATTACACATCAGTAGCTTAAATTTTCTTTATATTCTAAATCTAGTATGTGTAGGCATTTTCTTAATTGAATACTTAACGCAGTTAGGATTACATATTATTGAAAAAAGCTCAGCATTTAAAAAAGAAAAACATGTATACAGTAGAAGTTTATTCTACAAAAACTGATATTTTATTAGAAATAGTGATTGATAAACATATTGAAAATAATATAAAGATATTGTTTAACTTTTTCATCAATAAAATTCTTAGTTAATATCAAATTGATTAAAGAATAAAAAATTCTTCAAGTACACTCACCGGAAAGTACATCCGTCGGAACACATTTAAATTTTAACCAATAAATTGTACCTATAAATGCGTGTGTGTATATATATTTATAGAAATATACTTTACTAGCAAAAATTTAAAGGTGTTCTGAAAATTTAGGTTGCTAGTGGGTGTACAAACCATCACCCATTGAAAAATTTCTAGCAATGACCATACATGTTCATTAGATTATAATTGTTTACGATACACCACGTTTTCTCATATTTATTTTGAGAATTTCTATTGCTTGCGCAAAACGCAGCACAATATTTCGAAACGAGTTACTTAACACATTGTTATAATCATCATCATTATTGTTATTATAATTATAATTATTATTATTATTATTATTATTATTATTATTATTACAGAAATTTTAAATTAAATGTAATACAGCACAAATAATTGTGCCAGTTATTATGCAATACATAAATCTACGATAACATTTTAGATATGACCACGCATAAAGATAACCAAGTACTACACATTAGCATTTTTTTTATTCTGTCAATTTGCATCTTTGATTGAAGCTTCATCGTTTTTTGTATACAAGTGTATTATTATTACACGAGTTATTTAATATGTTGTAATTATCATCATCATCATCTTCATCATCATCATTATCACCATCTTCATAATAATTATTAATATTATTGTTATTGTTGCAAAAATTTTAATTTAGATGTAATACAGCATAAATAATTGTGCCAGTTATTATGCAATAATAAGTATACGATAATATTTTAGATAAGACCACGCGTAAAGATAATCAAGTACTAAACATTGTCATTTTTTTATTCTGTTAATTTGCATCTCGTACTGAAGTTTTTTCATTTCTTCTTTTCAATCGCATTATCTCACGGAAAAATAGAAAAGTTAATCGTAATAAATTTTTAAAAGTAATACGAATAAATTAAATAGGACTGAATTTCTTTTTGTAGTAGTCAAAGGTATTTGTAAATTCTGCATTCGTAGTTTATATATTGAGAGGAAACGTGTCACTCAACTTTCACCACATAAAATTGAAATATTTAGACGCCAAAGGTATTCTAAAAAGTTGTTATAAAACATCGATAAAACCATTATAAAATTTCACTACGCTAATTTAATTTTTCCGCTTTTACGTTTTCTTATATTGTTAAAAAATTTACGGTAAAATTTTGCAGTTATTGGCGATGCTCCAATTTTCTGTAAATTAACTTATTTTCTCGCAATAATTGGGGCAAAATTGTTGATTAAATTTTTAAGAAAATGTTTGAAAAAAAAGAAGTAACGTTGATCGTTAAAAAAAGTGATTTGCTGTAGTACGGTAAGAAAGTTATTTTCATTGTGCACCTCGCTTTTCTCGCATCGCAATTTGCCAATGATAACAATTTTTATCTTTCAAGTAACCATAGGATATCAGAGAAAATGGTAAAAGAAAATGTAAATTCTAGTTGTAAAACATTATTAGTAAAGTAACTTCAACACTGCAGTCTTTTGTCCAGTGTTCATCAAAAAGTAGAAATAATGAATAGAACGGTGAGAGGGGCAGGACAGGAGAAGGTGGGGGGGGGGGGGGGGTGGGGTGGGGGGGTGATCGAGAAACATCGCAGTGTACGTGGTTCTGGTATTCTGTATAATTTCTATTCTCGCCACGTTATTTTCCTTGAAGCGAGGACTTCAAATATTACAGATTCGGTTGACGAATTTGTTTGGCTGCTGAGCTGGTTCGTTGGCTAGTTGGCTGGCTGATTAGTTGCTTCGTGTAGTGCGTGTGCGTGTGCTTGTGCTTGTGCTTGTGCTTGTTCTTGTGCTTGCGCAGGTGCTTGTGCTTGCGCAGATGCTTGTGCGTGCGTGCTTGCGTGCGTCGTGCATGCGTGTACATGTGACTGGGTGATTGGACAGCAGTGTGGTTGTTGTTGTTGGTAGCGGTAGGTGGTGATGGTAGGTTGTGGTAGGTGGTGGTGACGGTGATAGTGGTGCTAGTGGTGCTAGTGGTGCTAGTGGTGCTAGTGGTGCTAGTGACGGCGGTGGTGGTGATGAAAAAAGACTACAGACAGCGCATTGCGAGCTTCGGCATCACCTCGTCGGTTTTGTTTCGCCCCTCTCTTTGGCCGTCCGCTCGCAAAAGTCTCGCAGCCGGTCGTCACCACGTGGCGCGGCCGTACGTCAGGGTATCGCGAGGAGGGCCGCGGTCAGGAGGAAAAAGCAAAAGCAGAGGGCGACAAATGCGGCGAGGGGAGTTCCTCCGGGGCGCCGCGCTGAGCCCTACTTGCTCGGCTTGCTCGTCGTGGTCGGCGTCGTGTCCTCCTTCTTGTCCTTGTCCCCGTCGGCGAAGTACTTGGTTGCATTGGGGAAGCGGGCCGCGTTTGGAAAGTCTGGTGTCCTCAGCCTCTCCGGATGGAGGCAGTCTTTAATCGCCTGGCCGAAGGCACTCCTGACGCCGGGAGCCGAAGCTACGGCGCTGGCCGCACCCTCGGTCTCCCCGACCTGCGTGTGTCCGATGCCCTCGCGGACCAGTCGCTCTAGGGAGGCGGCGATGGCGTTAGCACCGCTCGGCACGGGGCTCACCAGCAGTTGGGGCTTCTGCTGCTCGATAAGCTTGCGCCGTTTCGAGGGCAGACCGCTGAGGTAGGCGTCACTGAAGGGGATCGGGCCGCCCTGAAGAGCCTGCATCTGGACTTGGCGGCGCTGGCGCACGGAGTCGCGAGCGATTATCGGCACCCAGTCCTGCGCAGAGATGATAGACCTTGGTTAGTTAGTTAAAAAGCCTCGAGGTCACTTTTCGTGGGTGGCCAATGGATGATAGTAGGATTGGGAGATGGGGAGAAAAGAGCAAATGGACTCGATTATTTTTGTCTGTTGGGATCGCGGTGCAAATATTTGCAGCTTAAAGCTTTTATTAGTCCTGCCTTTGTTCGTCCCTTATTTCATAACGAAACATGGCAACTTTTCGAGTATTTCAATGGCTTTAATACACGTCTTCTTTAATGTAATTCTCCGAGAATGGCGAAGTTTATTGCAAGTTCATTGAGGCTTGAACTCCAGCCCCTAAATATGAAAGAACGTTAGAAAAGTATTTTTGTTTTACCACAATACATTTGTGTATTGTGTGAAAAAAATAAGTTGTATGATAAAAGTAGGATTAACGTATCATCCTTGTCGAAATAATCGAAGCGTGGAAATATTATTTCAGTTACGATAATTAATACTTAAGATATATCGATATACCGACGTAGCCATTATTCCTTTCTTATCCGTTTCAATTTAATAATCTCCAGTGCCAATTTTGAAAACGAATACGATAAAGAGAATTTATTGTCGATTTTAACCATTTATTGACTCTATATTCTTTCTCAGCACCAAATAGTAATATGAAATTGTGAAAGATTACACTAGCTAAATGTGCATGAATTAGTTCACATAAGATTACAGTAAGATTGTATGATTGAATCCTCGGATGAAAAGAAGTAGCAACGGAACAAATAAACTAAAAGATAAGATAGGAAGACTAGCTATGTCCAACAAAAATATTATTTTCATTCAGTTATCCTCGATGTATACATTAATAATTAATGGCTACATGCAATAAAAATTATTTTTCATAATTGGAATAGTTTAAATCATAGATTGAAAACAAAGTAAAACGACCATATTTATTTTTATAATTATAAAACAATTATTATACTATTAATTTCGTCTATCCGTTCGATTAAACAATTATCATTTCAATCGATTCATTAAATAATTAATAATTATATTATTTTTTAAAAGAAGTTTTCAAACATCCTAACTAGGTTCAAATAGTAAAAAATTAAATGTGAATCATCTAAGTCACGTTAAATGTCCTTTTTTTCGCTCTCACTCTCACTCACTCACTCTCTTTCTCTCTCTCTCTCTCTCTCTCTCTCTTTATTATTGCTTTATAATACTTTACAGCTTAATTTTATTTTTAAATTATCTGAAGATTGTTTTTTTTTTAATCATCATTCTAAAATGATATTTCAATGTGTACAAATATAGTTTTTATAACACTGATTTATAAATCTAGGATAACTGAAGAATGTAAAATAATTTTAACAAATATTTTATAAATTTAATCGAACAATGATAGCATATTCATTGTTCTTATGAATTATAAACACATAATTGATTTATCGACTACTGTAAAGTGTATCGACACTGCGTAATATATTAACAAGTTAAGCACTAATGAAAATTTTTGATAATTTTAATTTATTTTAATTAGTTTTTAAATAGAATTTGTGCATTTTTCTTTGAAAAAAAATGCTTCTTTAATTCTAACTCGAATATACATGTAATTTTGTTTCATTTAAATTTTTATTAGTATGAGATCAGAAGCTGTTATTATTTATTTAGTTTCTATTGTTATAATATAAGGATAAAAAACTTTTACTAAAAACAATATGATATAAAATTTACTGCAAAGTTAAAAAAAACGGATATTAATTATTATTAGAGTTATGAAAAACTTTTATTTTTATACAAAACTCAGCATCGCAGAAATCGAAAAGAGGAATTAAATTAAAATATTAATATGTTTAAAAAGGAAAAAAAAAATATATATATATATATATGTTAAACAGGTTAAACTAAATATTTGTAATAGACAGTTAACATAAATTCTATCATAAGATCATAAAATATCATTTGTTTGTTTATTTCTTTTATCAGAAATATAAAAAAAAGAAATATTCTCGTATACCTTTATTTTTTAAAATAATTTTTAATCCGATGTACTGTCTTTAACAATATCCAATAATTATGTTTTAAAGTAGAAATATTTTGTATACCACAATCGATTCAAAAAAAAATATATAATTTCCTTTTCTAATTAATAAATTAATTATTTATATATTGTTAAATAATTTTAAACAATAAATAAAAAACAATACATGTTTTTAGAATAAATTAAAATTTTTTTATAAATTTAAATACACCGATAGTTTTTCATACTAATAAACGTAGTACTCTATACGAAAAAATATATAAAATTCCATTCTTTGGTTACGTTAGTGCAATTAATAAAATTAAAAAAAATTTCCATTAATTTAAATAATATTATTAAATTTTGGTTAATTTGTATTTTGAAAGTGATCCGAAGCCCCAAATGTAAAAGAATTATTTTCAATAATCGCTGGATTACACTACTTTCAACATTTACAAATTAAGCAAAAATAAAAAAAAATATTAGAAAAGAGTTAACATTTATATTAGTAGTTAAAAAACAGAAAGTGTATTATTATTTACAAACTCATCATAATATTTTTATTCTCTATTCATTATTTATTGATAAGTTCATAGTGTGATATAATGACATATATCTAAAAAATAGATTTATATCTTTTTGCAAATGTTACTTATAAATGTTACTAAAATGGTCTTTATTTTTTAGCGATTTTATATAAGAATTTATAAATAAAATCTAGAGCTTGGTCGGCCATGTTTAATTATAAGCTTATTGATACGGTATCTTTAAAATTGAAAATACATTAAAAAAAAATATTTAATCATTAATAATAGGCAAAATATTGTTAAATAATGATTCTTACGCGTCTAAAATGCTTTGTATTATTCTTTACGAAACTTGTTATGCACTAATTTAAAAGAAATGCGACTTAATTAAGAATATTTAATTTTATACAAATTTAGATTTCGATTTTAAAAGGATATTTTTTATTTCCATATACGAAATTATTAATAAAATAATAATAATTAAATTGTTGCTAACAACAAATATATTTATTAAATAAATATATATGTTACTTGTTCAAATAAATATAATTTTCATGTTTCAAAGTATTATGTGTAATAAAAGATTGATTTTATACAAAATTTGTGAAAATAGATTGAAATGTTTGATAAGAAAATTTATATTATGTATTAGTCTACTAAAACATTTAAACAATTTTAATTAGAAACATACTCTAAGGTATTCAAATTTTTTAATTATTTTTTAGCCATATATTTTCGTTATGTCAATATACAACAGCAATTGGTGTAATTGTACGCATAAAAACTTGGAATTGAAATTATTTTAATGCTCATACTTTATATAAATATTAATTTATCTTTGCCGAGCAGTTGCATAAAAAATTAGTTTTTTTATAAAATAATTTGATGTAGTTGTTATTCAATATATATTCTATATATAATTTAAATTTACATATATATAATATAATATATATACATGATATAATATGAATAGTATCTTGAAAGAAAATATGAGTAATAAAATTATTAATATATTTCCTCTCAAAAAACGTTAATATCGCCTCTGAAAAATATTAATGAATTGTTATGTTTATCTTGAAATTTATAAAAGAAAATTGTAAGAATTTTTTAATAAAAATCAGGTCACATGATAAGTTCATTGCAAAACATAAGTTATTTCGATTTTGATTTGATAGCATTGTTTCAGGTATTAAGATTTTATTATAATAAAATATATATTCGATAGAATAGAATATTTTTTTGTATTATTGCTTTAATTATTAACAGTAATAAAGAATTTATTCTGTAAACAGTTATTGTAATTTGAAGCAGTATACATGATTATATATTTAGATGTATGTGATTTTATCAGATGTAAGATACGTTAATTGTTCTTGATAATAAAGTAAGTATTGAAAAATTAAAATAAAATAAATTTTTATACAATTTTATGAATAACGCAATAAATATGATTTATTCAAGATGAAAAAGACGTAATTCTGTATGTAATGGAACAATTTAAGCAAGATTATTTAAAAATTAGTATTTTAAGAAATTATGTAAAGATACACGATGATTTAAACAAATCATTAAATAAATAGTATAATAATCAAGGAATTTGCAATGATACTAATGGAATTAATATATTATAGCTACTTAAGTTCTAGATACAAAAAATATAAAGTTCTGATAAGTTTTAAAAAGTATAGGGTACTAAAGGTATAAGATACGAGTATGTTAAAAAGCATTTAAATATAAATTATTTATGAGTGTGTTGCTAAATTCCTCCAGCAGACGTAAATATACTATTTTTTGCTTTATTTTCAATGTTAGTATTATTTGGTTTATACATAAATACATTAATACAGGAATTGCTGAAATTTTCAATTGTATATTAATAGAATATAAAATTTAATCGTTATACTCAGTATTTTAAAGCCTTCTATTTATATATCAAATAAGATCTTATTAAAGTATTTCCATAAATTTAAGAATTTATAAAGCCGATGTACAAATATTTCACAAATTTTGTATATAAAATTAGAGTAACCTTTATTTTAAGTTTCGGACAAATTTCCTTATAGAACTACAATTAAATGTTTTATTTTGTATTAAAAAATGTTCATATGCATACATCTATGTTCTATCAGTATTATTATATATCCTTATAAAACTCTTCTACTATTGTATCAAATTCTTTTACTATTTTAAATACAATAATAAAATTTTTTTATTTTTTATCTTTTGCGATGAGCGATTTTCTATTGCTAAATACTATATAAAATTAAATTAATCGCTTGAAAATACGTGCATTATAAATATATCCCAGTTATATTAATAGTGTATGAATATAATATTAATTCTTGAATAATAGAAATATAACAATATTTAAACGTGGCCCAGTATCCGAGCATATACATATTAATTTAATAAAAACTAAATATTTCGCTATTAAAGAGTATTTCTATGCTTTTATTTTTATCATATATAAGAATGTAAAAGTTTTGTATTTTATGTTTTTAACAGTCCAAAATATACGAGTGTACGTACGCAATATATAGGCTTATGGATTTTTCAATTCTGATATAGAAATAAGATATGATTAAAAGAAAAAAAATTAAATTTTACGAAATTATCGTAATATATATATATTTTTTAAAGCGTTAATAAGATATTTTTCAGCTTCATAGGATTGGTAAAAAAAACTTGGTTTTTAAATAATTATTCTAAATACACGTACTTGACAGAATAGTGCGTATAAATAAATTATATTTTTATTTTAAACTTAATCTTATTATTTATCATAGAATCTAAAACTATTTTGTTTAACATATATATATATATATATATATATATATATAATTTATATTAAAAATTATTCCGGTTGGCTTGTAGTTATGTAAAACCAATTTTACTTAATAGTTCATTACTCAATGCAGCAGCATTTAAGTAAGTTGTGTCCGAATACTGAGCCATTGTCATTTATGTAGTAAACATGTGCATTATTAGATTTTCGAGATACGATTACAAGTACGTTTGTAAACTTTAAAAATTTTTAGTTATGATTTTAATGTTTTTCAAAGCATGTATTTGTTATGATTTTGGAAGTAAATAGTAAGCTGCTTAGAAGAACATAAAATTTGTTTATTCAGCGTTGATTTTATGTATTAGATTTTTTTAATTACAGCCGTGTAAATTTTTAAGCCTTTGGCCACTGTTATATTACCTTACCGACGTGGCTTCTGACAGACTCCACCTAATTCTTTTTTACCTATAATTTTACAAAAACTTTTATTACTTTAAATGAAATTCTCGCGTGTAAATTTATTGAATAAATTGGTATTATCGAGAATAATTTTTAAAAGTATGTATGAATAATAATTAATGCTTCATAGACAGTAAATAACAACTTCAGATTTACATGTTTCAATTGATACAAACTTTTTTCTATAGAACACTGTTTCAGGTTATCCATGTAATTAGTTAGAAATATTTAGTTATAAAAATTATTCGGAGAATTTAAATTTGTTGTTACCCGGCATGACAAAGAGAAATTAATATAAAAAGAATTCACTTATAAATATATAAGGTCTGCGTACTATTATGCATAATTGCAATTAAATTTCATTTTTTTTAATTGAATAAATATTCCATTTTTATTATCTAACGTCGATAGATTTTTATTTGAGAATTAAGCGCACTTACTGTATTGATATGCTCACACATTAATGGATTTATTGAATATGTTTATGTGTCTATTTAATTGCTTTTTACTTGATTGACCGCAATAATGTATTCTTAATGCAATTTTGGTCTGTACGATTTAATAATTATTTCATAATGCTTGAAGTATTGAATACTAAATTGGATTATTTAAAATAATACATTAAAATAATATTAACTACGTAAGAAAAATATTAATGGTTTGATATTGATATTTATTTAATTTTGTAAAAAATTAAACGAACTTATTTCTGGAATGAAATAATTAAAATTTTTTAATAAAATATTTTTAAATGCATTACTTGTTACTATATATTTAATAAATGTATTAGTTTGATACATATTTTTATCTTTTAATATTGATTACGAACGAAATCTAACATAATAAGAATAACTACATAGTTAAAATAATCCTACTCGAGTCTTTGATTGCTAATAAAACACTGACATTTAATGAAAATTTTTTAAAATTTTGTTGAAAAAGTACTTTTCAAGAAGCTAGGTTTTATTTTATTTATTAAATAGTTATCGTTAAAATATATTATAAACCTGCCTCGAAATATCGTGAGCCACCTGAATAAATGATATTTTACAAAATTTATTTATAAATCAGTGTCATGTATGTAACTTGGCGCGTATTTTATTTCCTGTGAATAAAAATTAACCTCTTTAGAACCACATTGAGTATCTATTAATTCATAAATATCTAAAAAATATCTTGAAAATTTGTAACTTACATGATATTAAGAAGTTAAATCATTTAAAGATCTTGTAATAAAATGTAATTTTATAAAGATTAATCTCATCATACTTGTCTAAAATTAGAAAATCTGTACTTACAGCAGGTAAATTTTCTGCTCCCGGAAAAGTCTCAGGTATTTCTTCTCCGTTAGCAAGGTCCATAGGATCATCAACAACTTTATCGTCTAGTAACTCAGTTTCCATTGGCTGTTTTGTAAATAAAAACAACTTTTGGATATTTTTCGCATACTATGCTTATTTCTTATTAATTAATACTTGCAAAAATTTCTTAGGGTATACGACAGTTAAATAAAAGAAATGAAATGCAATTTTACGTAAATGATATTTACCTCGGGTTTAGCTTCCTTGGTCTCTTCTCGTACATCTTGTTTTGATTGCTGTTCTTGCATTGGCTGTGATTGAGTCTCTTGCTCTTGCTGTTGGGACTCCAACTTGGGCGGTTTTTCGCTCACCGACTCTAATTTCACATGGGGTTCGCTCGCTGAGGCTGAATTTAGTTGCGAATTATTCACTGACTCAGCCACTGCAGATTGAGCTGATGGCGCAGACGGCTCTTCCTGGTATATCAGTAAAGCCGTTATCTCGTCTTGAGATACTTGCGACGTTCTCGATGTGAAATCGCAGATCCGTGTGGTCAGTATACGTAGCAAAGATTGGTGGAAGAGCATCGGAACACAGCGTATCATTGTATCCTGATTTTATTATAAAGATTTTTATCATTCATATAAGTATAAATATATATATATATATATATATATATATATATGAATAAAGAAAATGTGAATTTTTAATAAGAACGTATGAGTTTATCATAGTATCAATTTATATTGTAAATTTTATAAATAGCTTGCTTTCTCGACCTCTAGAAATTTAAAAATAAATATTCAGATGTTTCATACAAGATTATAAATTTTTACTTAAAATTCACATTTATAATATTAAATTTAATTGTTTTATTAATGTGTATAATTTATTGACTCAATAGTCTATTAATATACTGAGTAGTAATTAATATATTTGATGAGCTGATTTAATAAGTTAAATACGCATTTGTACGAAAGTTTTAAGTGACCTCATAATGCATGAAAAATAATTTTTTATTAAATGAAATAAAGTGAAAAAAAATCTTTCTTAAATTTTCAATATTATACATAAATTCGTACGAATATGCTATTTTACGTACTATAAAGCGTGAGCTCATAATTCCGAATCTTATTTGTCCATATTGGATTAAATATTCGAATACTGCAAAAGCTTGCTCTTCCAATTTTTTTGCCAATACAACTGCCTCTTGTGCAAACGTATCATTATCCACATCTACAAAATATTTATTACCAATTAGAGCTAACGAAGGGAGATCAAACATCGTAATTTAAGAATTTAATAACTTACCGTTGTTAAACAATAGTTTCAAAATATCACTGCAAAATTTGCGCAATAAAGGTTCGATGGTTGCAGGTATATCGACTCGTCTGTTAGCAATCTCCTCTTCAGGTTGAATAAGAATTTGAAGCAACGGGCAATTTAGTGATACAATTTGCTCAACGACCCGCTCCTGCAAAGTCGTTTGCGACACATGAGGGAAGGAATGTTCCAAAAACTCTCGCAGAGGCTGTCGAAGGTTCACTAACGGTGCTACTTGGCCTAAACTCAGCTGCGTTATACCTCCGAAAGTGATGTTTCTCAACTACAAGTATTACGACAGCAATTAAAATGCAAATTTTTTATAAAAAAAAAAAGTCACAAAATCGTATCTTAATTGTGGTTACCAAAAATAGCCACAGGTCGTTTAAGAAATTTTGCTCTGTAAACTCGAAAAGCGAGTTTCTCAACCTTAATAGTTCAAACAGTGATGCGTCGCTATGAGAAGATATATGAGTTTCGCCACCGATAGGCCTGAAAAATAATATTTGGTGATTATTACTCGTAAAATGAAAATGTTTAAATAAGTTCTTAACCGTCGACTATTCTCACTAATTGGAATCAGTCACCCGCGAATGAATAATACCTTTCAATTCAATAAAATGTCAAATTTAAAGCCTTCCGATTATTTTCATTGACAGGTATGTTGATGTTGACCATCGTCCACTTACTTTATTAAAACACACTACTGTTTTATGAAAATTAATTTAATTTATCAAATGAACTGATAATGCTAGTGTATTTAGACAACCGTATCTTCTACAAGTCGCAATAATCCCAATAATCAAATTAATTAAATTAAAATCAATAGATTAAGCAACTATGTTTTTATCGATTCTTCGAGCTTTGATTATAAAGTATCAAGTTCTTTTCCTTACCCACGTCCAACGAATGAATTGTGTGCATTATCGCTGTTAGGCACTTGTGATAATTCGTCTGAAGTCATTGGCAAACCTATACCTAGATTTATTATTAAACATTAGGCAGTATAAATAATAATTTGATGTTGGTAATAAAATAGCATTGTATTAATGAATGAGGCAACGTACAATTGCGAAATTATCAAGAAGTTTTAATAGATAATAACATATAGCTCTGTAAGAATTTTAATATCATCTCCAAAATTGATTGCGATAAAGAATTATAATCATTAACTTTTCTAGCTAATTACATTATTTTTTTCAGCATAAACATATTTGTTTTATAACATCGTGAAATAATAATTCAATAAGTTTAAATTAAATTGAAGTTATTTGTTATATAAAGATATTCCTGTAAAGTCGTTTATATAAAGACATAAGCTTAACAAATTAGATATAACATTTTTATTACATACAATTAATTTGTCTTTATGATTTTATTATTTACTTTTTCATATAAATAAGATTTTGTATAAATCAGTGAATCTTACCAGTCATAAATGCTTGACCATCATTTTCAAGAAGCTCTTGTGCTAAATCTGCCAAATTGATTGAAGGGCCATGCGATGAATTCCTTGTTGAATTAGATGATTGCGATGCTGTAATATTTTCAAAATTTTTCAGCGTTTTTTTCTCTCTTTATCCAAATGAATAGATTCTTTTTAACTTTAGCATAAAATGACGATTAAAATTAGATTATTCGTCTATGGTAATACAAAATTTTTCTTATTAAACACAGCCAAAGGCTTATTTCGTTTTAAATACTTCAACATGGTTTCTAAAAGTGCTAATCGACAAACTAGAGAATAATATTTTTTCTTCAAATTGTATTTAATATATTTTTCATTAATATTGTGTCGAAGGGGAGCAAGTCAACGCTGATTGAGGTAAGAACGGCAGGTTAACAGCAGCTCGGGAACTAGTTTGGCTAATTTAGTAATTTGTCTTTTTATAAACCGAAATTCATCATTTCTTCGCTCCTTTTTTTATTTCGTACTTTGACTTAAATGTTCGGTGTCCGGCGATACGAGTTATGTCGCACAAGTTGCCGATCTATTAAATCCAGTAACAAAATAACAACTCATTTATAACGAGAATAACAGGGTTTCCCTTTTTTATAGTCTTTATGAATGGATCGAGTAGATCTCATAACAATATATCAATATATCTCATTTTGATTTAAAATGTTGAACGTATGCCTGTTTTAACTATTTCGAATAATCAAAATTTACACGTTTCATTAAAGAGCTTTTCCACAAGCTAGTTTCGTTCGACTTTTATAACCATAATACAAATGTGAATACAAATAAAACGTAATAGAACGTAAATACATAATGAAATGAATACAAAATTTAATTTGAATGTTTCAAATATGTCATTTTATAATTTTATATTAAGGCAGCTTACATATATATTTGAAACTAGGAGCACAATTAGCTCTAAACATTAAGTTAATTGCCATTAAAGTTAAGCGATAAAGCCGCGCATAAGCAAGTCATATTCTACGAGTTTATTAATATTCTAATGCGCTTACTTTAGACACATTTTAATATTTAATCGTTAATTGGCAATATTATAATGCAAGAAATCGAGGAGGCAGACTTACCAGACTGGGATCGACTATGGCTTTCTGAAGCCGTTGACTGATTAGCTTGGTTGGATTGGGATGTGGAAGTAGAATTGACTGTTGCTGGTGGTGTTCTACGTATGTGGTGTGAGTTACACGGGAGAAAAGGATCGAAGTCTAGGCTTTGGCCCATGCTGGCACCGACATTGAGTGCAGGATGAGGATGTAGCACGTGTGGTCTGGCAGTACTTCGGGTCTGAGTCGATGTTGTTGGATGCGTGCCAATGTTGCTTCTAAAATAATTATAAGTTACATGTGTAGGGATACATTGTAATGTTAAAAATTTCTTTCTTTACATTATTAACAAAAATTGACACGAGATTGATTTACACTTGGTACTCAATTTTTTTAAAAATAATTTCACGAGATGCAATACATTTGAATATTCAGAGGCGAGAGAGGGAGAGAGAGAGAGAGAGAGATAGAGAGAGAGAGAGAGAGAGAGAGAGAGACAGAAAGAGACAGAAATTAACTATTATTTAATTGTAACAATAATAAAATATAATTATACGAACAACACTATGTAAAAAGTGGATGAATTAGCATACTTTAAAATATTGAATTTTATTTTATAAATAATTAAATAATTGAGTTTATTTTTTATTTCTTTAAACTTTACGTAAAAGTAGTTTTGAAAGGCAAATGTTTCATGTAAAAAGACTTGATATGTGAAATTGGATAATAGTAGGAAAGAGAATATCAGAATGAAATTAGAAACTAAAATCTCGGATTTCGGTTTCTATTTTAAGTTCATTGAAATACAAAGCACAATTTTCACAATTAGATGCATAATAAATCCGATAAGTCGAAAAAATTTTTTTTTATTAATTCCACCATTGCTAGTTTATTCACCAATAATGGCAATTTTACAATTTTATACTCTACTTCAGAACTTCCAAGATAATAATGAGAATTACTTAAGAGTAGGTTAAAAAACGCGTCCTAACTTTTGAAATAAATAAATTAATTTAACCTTGCTTGGGTGCTTTGTCCTGAATTTGGCGTGCCAATATCCATCGTCTGCTGACCCACTATTGTTACAAATGGTATATTGGTTGGTGTGCTAATTGTTGCCCCACCAGATGTGTCCAGTAATGAGTGCCTTTCACTCAATACGGTTCGCAATGCATCGCGAATCAAGACGAAGGGCGGAGCCATGGGGTAGAAATTGCTAGCACCTGCAGCTGAATAGACAAAAAGATATTTATAATGAACGGAGCGTTTTACGACTTAGTATCGAAATAATTTCATGGCAATAAAAATGTACCATTTCCATTATTATTATTATTATTACTTTGACCATGTTCGTTCTCTGAACCTTCTGCTGCACTTGGTGAGTTCAAATCGATTGTACTTTGAGGACTTAATTCCATTGACAATTCTACATTACTTGGTAGATTTAGAAGAGTACCTTAACATTAAATAATAACAATCATTAACATGCTTCTTTGATTAGCTGTAAAAATAGGGAAATATAATTACGATAAAATAATGAAAGTATTGAAATAATTATAACTATCTTTTTTTATTTTTATTTTTTTAAATAAACCCCTTTTACCCCCCCCCCTTTTTAAAAATAAACCTGGAAATTATTTTTTCTTATTATTGCATTTCGATTTACATAAAATATGCATACCTAATAAAGATGGCTGATTTTGTTGTCCATTAATGCTTTGAGGCATCGAGCGATTGTTTGTGTTATTAGATCTTGGAGTTTGATCTGATGTACCAGAGGTAGGTGATGATGGTCGAGTGGCTTCATTACCTTCATCCGTAGCATTGTTGTTGTTGGTAGCATTGCGAGTAGGTATATTCATATGGGACTAAAATAATGGAAAGACACGAGCGGTAGATTTTTATACATTTATTTTGGTTCAGTGAAACTAATAAAATATTGATTTTTACATAAATTTGTAATTTACATAAATAAATTTCTAGCTTTTTAAAAAATTAAAAAATGAATTGTATTTAAATTTTCTTAATTATCATGGTATAGGTATACACGTCGTTGGTGTTTGCTTTTGTACTTTATGTGAATTTGAATTTTAAACCTACTGCTTTCTTATTATATAAACATTTTAAAATACATTCTGATTATGTATATAAATGCAAAATGTAGTTTAATTGTTTATACAGAAATGATTAATAATAATTCTGAAATTTATTAACAAAATTAATTTTATCATTACTATTATGCTGATAGTATATCTTAAAAATATTCACATCAATTTTCACGCTAAATTTTCAATACTTGATAATTTGCTAAAGTAAACAAATTCATGCCTTATGTTCAAAAGGACTATAGAGTACGAAACTGTTGTTCTTTATTTAATAGATTTGATGTCATTTTGCAAATAAAACTACATATTTACAATTATTTTGAATAGTAAGTCATGAAAATTAATAGGAATAAGGATTTCAAGAAAATAACAATAGTAACTGTCTAAAACAAGTTGGTGGAACTTAATAAAAGATAAACCCGTTTTATAATTAAAAAATCACACTCCAATTTAATAAAATAATCAAAACAATAACTGTACAGATTGATTTATAATGTTAATGCAATTAATGTATACATGAAAATTTATGTATACATGAAAATTATTTACCATCAATAGTGGATATTTTTATTAACTTTAAATGATAAACTTATCTAATGAACGATAATTACATATACTACATAAACGCATTGATAACTTCAATAAAAATTGTAATAAAAGTTACAATAGTCTCGTTTAAAAAATGAATCATATTAAATCATAGATCATCATAATTATTATCGAAATAGTTGAATTTTTAGGAGCTCTCTATATTAGAAGATTTCTGACTTATTGCTGACTGTGGAATAGAATATTTTTATATTTTGCAATTTTGATGTTGAAAAGTATGTCTAAACTAGAATAAATATGCGTAAGAAGCTCATGTAAAATGTAATTTATGTCGCAAGTGTTTGAAGGGAGTTATACGAGTGAAGACTTGATATTTAGTTTAATAATTGGTTTGGCATACTTTTAAAAACTGCCTTTTAATTACATTTAAAAATTACTTAAAAATCTTTAAAATGGACAGCAAAAATTCATAGAAGCTATTCAATCACTTGGTTGATAATTTTACATTATATGCATTTCAAATGTAAAAACTTTATATTTCATCTTTAAATTTTGCTTTTACTTTATTTTCATTCATACGAACAAAAATAGACATTTTTAATAAGAAAATAATATTTTTTTTTATTTTTAAGTAACTATTTTTAGTAATTTAAACAAATAATTAAAAACAAAATAGTATGTTTTTAAATTGGATTTCTCTGAAACTTTTTCTATTCAAGGTGCATAATTTAAAATGAATTATAAAATGGAATCTAGAAGCACATAAAGTATTACTTAAATTTTTTATTTACATCTATATTGTAGGGCTGATTGATAAAAAACACACACACACAGATAAAAAAAACTAAAGGAGACATAAGGATTGCAAGAATATAGATATATATATCCGAGTAAGTATAACGAGCGAGGCTCTCTCTCTCCCCACGTCATAGAGCCAAAACAGTACTTGGGGTTGAAAAAACAATTTATTGTAAAGAAAATTAATTGAATTTTTTCTCTCCATACTTACAATAAACTTTCTTTGTAAAATGTCAAGACTTACCTCTACTTGTATTGGTATTCCAGCTTGTAATATAGCCGAATGTTGTATGATGATTGGTCGACAGCGCAGATTACGAGGGGGTTGTTGTCCCATATCGACGATTATATCGCTCAATGAGTGACAAGCGTGCGATAAATAATGCAAACATTCACTCACACCATCCACTATCCTCTGATTTTCAGTAACACTTTCGGGTCCGCTCTATAATAGAAGTATATTCATCGTTATTAGAGGATGTTTGAACTCACTATTAATAAAACATGTCACTCTTTGTGATTAGTTCATAAAAATATTTATATTTATTTTATTACTTACGCCAGGGGTAAGAGTAGGATCTGTCAACATCAAGACTCGATAGCGTTCAATGTACGGTCTCAGTCGATCTTGAGTACTAACCAGTCTTTCTAACAACTCAGCCATTTGTGGTGGACGAGGAACTCTGTAAATGTATATTTAACTTATATTTTAATTTAAATCATTACATTGATATAATTAAAGGCTGCTTGTCACATACTGAGAAGTTGATCGTCGACGTGCATTTTGATTTTCATTGCTCGTGGAAGCATTGGATCTCTCAGGTTCTGGTCTTTCACACTCTAAACTTTCTGGCTCAGATCTTTCGCGTTCAGACCTTTCTGGCTCGGAGCTTCCTGCTTCTGCTCTTTCTGGTCTTGATCTTTCTGGCACTGCTCTTATTGGCTCTGACCTTTCTGGCACTGGTCTTTCCGGTACTGCACTTTGTGGCTCTGATCTTTGTACTTGCGGTACTTCCGCCTCTGGCTCCGGTATCTGAGTCTGAGTACTCTGTCGCGGTCGAGTTGCATCGATTACGTTAACCGTTCCTGTGACACTTCCTCCATCCTCGCTGTTATCTGTCCATTGGACATTACATTAACTTAAATAGTAGCTCCTTTATACGCATTTCAATATTAATATAAGGAATTTTCAACTTTTAATAATACGTTACCCCTTAAGTTATTTCTCGAGAGAAAGGGAGTATTAAAAAATTGATAATAAATAATAATTAAGTGCGTACCATGTAATAATCTGATGTTAATTAAGGCTGCAGCAGAGAATGCAGCTGCAATTTCCGAGGCTGCTTGTACCATTCTATTTCTGGTATTGTTTACATTACTATTTACATTACTGAAAATACAATTTTTTGAAAATAAATAATAAAAAGAAGTACTGATAAATATAGAGTCGATCTTAGAAACAAATAGGATTAAACATTAAAAAACTAATATTCATAATTAAATCCTTAAGTTAAGTCCAATGAACATTAAGACCGTATTCATCAATTCTTCTTTATATGTCTTATACAGTAATGTTACCTATCCTGCTCCGCTTCTTCTTCTGGTGCTGAAGCCTGTTGAGGTGTTTCAGAAGCACTATTTTCTGTTGGACTAGGATGAAGAGGTACCGAAGGGTCATCTAGGCGATTCATCAATTGAACAGCTTTATTAAGCATATGCTTTGCGGCTAATAACCGACTATTGGACAGAGAGTTATTTATCTGAGGTGCTGGTAAACCTATGTAAATGTAAGTTTAAGACTTTAATCTTCCGAGCATTCCCAAGACTTGTGTTAATTTGTCAATAAGCTTTGTGTAATTTAAAACTAACGATAACTATCAACATCAAATTAAGTGTATGGCATTTTTAATATTAGACGTAAAGCGGTGCTTGACTTGACAAAGCCCTGTATTCAGTTATCTCTCTATATCAAAATTATAATATATAGGAGAACAAATTCTAAACAATATTAATTGAAATCAAACTTTATAAAAATCCATCGATATACACACAATAAAAATCCACACATTTAATAAGATATTCAACTTTGTTATGTAATAACCTTCGATAATTTCTTCAGGCACAGACATTGTACCCAAGTACATAGCATTTCTATGGAGATGTCTTTGGTAGTGAAGTCGCGGCATGCCTTGACGCCAGCGGTTGTTATTATTTTGTCTTTGAGTCTCGTCATTGCTGGTACGTGACTCTGGCTGTGGCGGAGCACGTTGCACCAAATGGATAACTTTTCCATTGACATCTAATCAACCCAATGGTATTAAGAGACGCATTATATAAAGATACGTATTAAGAAATACAATATCTAAAGTTCAGGTAGAAATAGCAATAACTTTTATTATAAAAGTAATAAAATGTCACTTATCTTACCATGTAATCATTAAAAGAAATAATGCACAGTAATAATACTTAGGATGTAAACTGACATAATTATTTTAATCATTTAAAAATGAAGAATAGTATGAATTATTGATTATTTATATAACTTCTAATTACGAATAGCTAAAATTATTTTTACAGAGCTATTAATTTTAAATAAACTGTAAGATACTCGCGTATATAGAGATGCACATGCACAAGCACACACGCGACACACGCGTGCGCACGCACGTACACGCACACCAACACAACTGTCCAAGCTTTATATACATAATAAAATGTCTACCCACTCACTCATCCACCCACACAAGTTTAAATATTTTTATTCAAGGAAATTTAAACATAGAGAATTTTGAATGATCCACTTTAGTATTTATATATAAATTATATTTGGCTATTATTAGAAATGTAATTTTCAAATTATTGTGAAAATCAAAATTTATTGGCCTTTTCAAACAATTTGTAAAACTTATTTTAAAGCAGTATTTATTTAAAATTTGTGAAATTGCAAAGATTGAAATAAACTGATTTCATAAAAGTAAAATTTTATATTTAGTTGGTTATACACTTTTTTGATAAAACATGTTTCCATCAATCCATCACAGTTAATACAATATAAGTACTGCAAATTATAAAGCCATCGAGCTAATTGTGTAGTTAAAAAAAAAAAAGGAAGAAATTTTACCATAATCATTGAGTATCTTATCGTCTTGCAAGACTCGGCCGCAATATATGAGTCTCTGCGATTCTGCGGGTACGGAAACTGTTTCAGCTATGTGTTCTTTAAAGCCACGTACTGTAATCTGTACGGATTAAAATAACAAAACATTACAACTTAAATTAAGGATTGCAAGATGAAAACATAGTATTTTTAATAATTCAAAATACTTTATTCCATCGTTGCGTAATTAGTTTTCAAATACATTATCATGGATTAAATACATAAAATTGGGATTAAAAATACAACTAAACATTGCAAGCCATTAATGTAATAGTAAGGATGAGCAATTTTGAAAGAATTATCAATAAATACTTTCTAGTATTTGAAAAATGGATAAAATTGTGACCATGATGTATCCATTTCAATCTTAATTTTCTTAACAATCATTACGCATAATATTCAATCATCATTATTTTTGCATTTCTGAAAAAACAATACAGCTCATATATACACAAGTTGAAAGTCCGCATATCAGCAGCTATGTTAAATTTTATAAAAGTAAAAAATAAATTAGCAATTTTCTCAAGGCTCAATAGCAACACAAATGAAGATGGGGACTTTTGGGCTTCCACCATGCTGTAAAGGCTTATAAGTACGATGCAATCGTAACGAATAACGCGATATAAAATATTCACAATAGTATTGTGCAACTAACATAATCAATATGTAACTTACATCTTCCTCGCACGTAAAGAAATAATTCTGGGAATCCAAGGTCTTGACTGATACTTCGAGCATTTTTGCGACGTAGTAGCAGCCTTTGCGACTCGCCTTGTAAGAGGTTCAGCAATACGTGCACGGTTGCACGCACGAATCTACAAATCCAAACTCCAGAGAAATCTAATTAATTATACTGCAGGCGGCTAAGGCTTACCGTCCCTTTACTTCGGGAAATAATGATGACGACGATCGGTTCGTAAGCGCTCGCTCTAGGGAAGTGCTTTGAGGTTAAGTCGGCCAATAGTGCCGACGCGTATACACGAGTGCAAGCAGGACAGATAAGATGAGGAAATAATATATATAGTTATAGTATCATTCGCGGCGGCTAGTCGTCGCGCGCATTTTCCGGATAATATGGTAGAGAGTCTTCGAAGTGAATTTCCGCGAGGAGGAGACGAAGGAGGGCGCCGACGACAATCTACCGAGCCGATCTACGATCCAGATATTTTTATCGACAATTAATTAATGTTGCGCCACTACGCTCGACTCTTACATACGTGGGTGTTCGCTTTCTTTTTTTTTCTCCCTCTTTTTTTGTAAAAAATTTTATACATGATACGAAAGAATTGCCAACAGCTTTGCCGGCTCTTAGGGAGATGGCGCTAAGGACGGCGATTTGCACCGTTGCAAGTGAAATTTTAAGCGGAGTCGTCGTTACGTCCTCTCTTATCTTCAAAGTTCAATATGTTCAAAGGCGAGAAGAATTTAGGTAAAAGCGCGAGTCTTTTGTTTCGCAATGCCTTTGTAAGTAGGCTTGGGGCCACGCTCGAGCCTCTTAACTAATTCGCGTATGTTTTTGGCTTTCGATGCGACCTTTAACAATCCTCCAATCCATGTAATGTACATTTGACACATGTGAAATAGCGCGTTAAAAAGTAATGCACAACGTTCCTCCGTAACGTGTGTTATTCGCTGCCATTTTTAATTTAAGAGAAAAATCTGCATTGCTCGAAAAGTAAGTTTACACGGGATTAGGGGATTATCGAAATTATAAGACAGAAAAAGCAAAACAACACAAAGACAAAATTTGTTTAGTTTATTTACGATATCGAGAACGCATGTAAAATATAATGCAAGATATTATTAGTTCAAGTAAATTTTATTAAAATTTTTATGAAATCCTTCGGACCTTTCCAAGTTATAATATTTTTGTTTTCTCAAAAACTTTTCTCGTACACTGCCATAACTCTTTCTTTCAAAGCATATTTAAACAATATGACAAATTGCATTTAAATTTTTTCTTTACACGCGCACGCAAAGAGAGAGAGAGAGAGAGAGAGAGAAAGAGAGAAAGAGAGAAAGAGAGACAGACAGACAGACAGACAGACAGACACATTTAAGGCAAACACTAAAAGGAATTCTATATTTAGTTTCTTTGTTAGTAGGTAACATAATTTCATATGCGTTTCCTTGTTTTATTACATTTTGATATACATATTTATGACTTTAAACATTTACTGCCATTAAAAGAAGTGATAATTTGCAGTATTTCTTTGCTGCAGTCAGCTTCTTCATGTAGCATAGTGTTTTTATAGAAGATTACTGTAAATTATTATGAAGTTAGCGGTGCGATATATATTTTCTTTTGTGCGTTTCCAATTTGATCGTCTCAAAAAGTGAATCTTCTAATTTGACGTTTACAAAATAAGGAAGTGAGCTGCCGTCATCCAATTTGTATATTGCCAGAGAGAAGCATCGCCGTTATTAAAAATGTAAAATATTATAAGTAGAATTAAATTATTTATTAAATTTATTGATTATATTAAAATTATTTATTAAATTATTTATAACGCTGATTAGGTGTATAATTGAGAAAATGCTGGAAACATTAGTGTCGTTTTATTCTTACTATGAGACTGTTTCTGAAAGTACAATGGATGATTGTGCACTTTTGTTTCAAAGTCCCGTATTTTTCAATTATTTTACGGAAGAATTGGATGCGAATTAGACTTATCATTACTATTAAATGACTAAATATTATTTAATAATACCCAAAGAATTCGAAGCAATAAATTATACATACCTTTTCATTAATTCCGGAAAAACAAATGATATGTGTTATATGTTTTGTTTTCACGTATTAATTGCACGCTGTTGAATAAGCATATAAAGTTATTTTTTCACATTAAATGCATAATACATTACAATATATTTCAAAGTTGCTTATTCGTTTTTGGGGAAAATTTCAACAACAACTAATGAAGCTTTTTAAGAGAGTTTTTCTGATTTCTGGGAATTATTGTAAAAAAAAAAAAGAAAAGAGAATTTGACTTAATAACGATAGAACTCATTAAATAAAATAAATGCAAATTCAAATTTATTAAAAAACTCTGCTAATTGTAATTCAGAGATGCTTTAAATACTTATCATCAATATGTCATATCAATTAAAACTATGATGCTTGAAGTGAGTTTTTCTAATAAAGTAAAAAATGACAGTGAGTAGTTTTGATAAAAATTAGTTTTTATTTATTTTGGCTAGAAAATATTATTCATTGTTTCTATTAAATGTCAATAATTTTAGGTTTATTATTAATTTTATACACGATATTTATCATATATTTAGAGTTTTATGCGAAGAATTTACATTACAACTGGACATGTTGGATCGTAAGAATATATCAAATTTACTGTAAAATATTTATAATGATTAATATTTTTCAGTCATAATATAATGAAATTTTTATTATGGAAATCAATCACCAACAAATTGATGATAATATAATGAAACAGTTTCGTTCTTTTTTTTCTTAACAGTTTTTCAATGATTTTTGATCTTCGTATTTGAATTATTATAAAAAATTATGAAAAATAATGAATAAAATACATAATTGCCATTTGTTTTTTTATCAATTTTTAAATTTTTAAATTCTAATTATTATAAGTTTATTATTAAATATTAAATCTTTTAATATGTCTTTTTATCTGTCAGTATATTTTTTAGGTTGTAATTGAAAATTATACAAACTGATGCTTTCTATTAAACGTGGAAAATAAAAGCAAGTCGGTTCACTTTTATTTAAGTAAATATAGTAAAAATATATTAAATATTGATTATTTTTCTATTTACAACAAAGCATATTAAAAGAATTGGAATTTGACATATAATATTCAATTATGTATTGAGTATGAATCATTTTAAAAGTCAAATTAAAATAATAAGATTAAATAAATATATAAATCTAACATAACACCCCGACCCCTAGCTGCCATAAATTTTGTGTTCATCAGGTAATTATCATATTTTAAAGAAAGCGTAATAGAAATTAATTTTATTGTTTCAATTTATTAAACAGTTTATTTGCAAAAAATAGTAAGGTAATTGCAATGTGATCTTGCAGTTTGATCCATATCATAAACTATTGTACTAATTTTAGCTTCTTGACTTCAGTACTTTGTATCTTGATAACTGAAATTTAACAATTCTCCCTTAATTTACAGTCATTTGTAAGTACGATTCGCTTGTAAGCAACAATATAAAAGTGATATATATATACGCGCGCACACACACAGACACACACAGACACACACACGCACGCACGCACGCACGCACGCACGCGCGCACACCTTCACACACAGAGCCAGAGACACACACGCACGGACAACGACACACACACACACACACACACACACACACGCGCGCGCACGCACGCACGCACATACACACATAGATTTTCAAAGCGATAAGAAATTCTAAAAATATATCCAAAATTAAAGTGACAAAAGAAAAGAAAAAAATTACTTCTCTCAATATTTCTTTGATGGAGAAGCATATTTATACGTGACAAAGAAACCAGTATATTTTAATTTATCGTCGAGTCGAGAGCGTTGCATTATCTTGTATCCTCGCAAAGAATATTGGTCTCGATTCATTCCTGCGACTCTCGACTTGAAATTATACACATTTTTGTGTGTATATATATACGCGCTCGCGTATGTATAAACATAAAAGTCAATTTTGCATACAGGAAATGTTATATACCTATATATGCTTGGCAATCGATGATCGGCTTCTGGCGCCTTAATGTTCGCGCTACAAAAAACGAGGAGAGGATCGCGAGCGAAATGTATAATGCGCGAAGAGAGAAGAATGAAATATGATATAATGCGTATGTTCCTTTGAATCCCGATCGTAAACACGCGCATGCCCGACTCATCGGTATGTCTCGTTTCTGCACAGCACTAAAAACTTAACGACACTTTGATACGGACTTCTTTTACTTTTATTGCTTTATGTGCGCAGAAAGAAATGTCAAAATTAGCATGATATCTTATAGAAGGAATTGAGAGCATAAATATATAGGTATTTAGTCATTCGTTTACGGCTTTGCGAACACACGTTGTCAGGCGGATTCATATTGCGTTTTAGCCTTATAGAGTGATCTACAGCCCTTTATGTACAATTTCAGAATATTTTTATGTCAATTCTGCAAATTGATATGGAATTCCTCTATGGTTTAAAGCATCGACGCAAATTATTCAATTGATGCCAGGAAAGGGAAGAACCTCGTTAATGTATTATTGGAACTTGGAAGTATTGTTTAAAATTTAAAATTTTAAACAATAAAATGAAATGGCGCCATAAAGGATATTAAGTATTGATTAAGATTCATGTAACCCTCGTGCATTTTAAATTGAAACGTAATATTGTGAGAGGAAATATTGCAGAAATAAAGTGTTAATTTTAAAAAATACATATGAAAAGGATAAGCTTCGAAACAATGTTGATACGTTCTACAATGTTCAAATGTTACTATTATCGGTACATGCATATATTATAAATGATTTAAAGCAATCTAGAAATTAAATAGTTTTAATTAAGTATCTAGATATTCAATGACGAATTATAAAATGAAGAATTAACGTCTAAAAAAATATCTTCATAAATAATCTTATTTTTTCCATATTTTAAGGAGACCATTTGATAGATTTGAGGTCGATATTTTACTTATCTATTTAGACTCAATTAAGAGATGTTAAGTATGTAACCGGATTTGGCAATTAGAAAGTATTTAATTAAAATTATCTAAAGAGTAGAAAATTAAAAAAAAATTAACGTTGACCACTGCATTCAAAGATGATACAATACATTTTATATCTTTA